CTTTCCCTTGGACGACTTACATGTGCCACACATGTCGCGAAAGAACATAATTTTCGCAGGCTCCGCACCTGGAGCACTTGAGCTTCTTCGTGCTGGATGAGACCTCTGTGCGCCAGGGCGAGGCGTGCCGGCGTGCCGGGAGTTGAGAGGGCCGGAAGAGCGTCAGTGTTGGGCACGAGAAGTCAGCCGAAGCATCGAAAACACAACTTGGGCGGCCGGAGTTGGGTGCTGAATGTCAGTGGGCACCGTTTTCGTTGCCTTGCTGAGTCAAGACCCTCTGGATGCAACGGCAGGAGAGAGAGAGAGAGAGAGAGATGGCCTGAACGAACTCGTCGATGATGATTCTCACTTCTAGGATTTTTTCATGTCGCAGGTGCCGCTGACCAACTGTACATCGCTAGGTGGTTCAAGGCATTACGTGGCAACTTGGGCATTTCTCAACGCTCACCAGGAGTCCGTGTTAAACGGTAGTTCGAGTTGGGCATTGGCGAGGTATGAGGAATTGAGAGGGCATCATCAACTTGAGACGAGACACTCGCCCGAGACACTCGCCCTTGACGGCTCTTTCAATGAGATATTCAGACAACGTCAACGGACCATCAAGATTTATACTGTAGATGGACGAAGTCCTGCACCACCTAAGAAACCCTGGAATGAGGATTCCCGTGTAAACACCAACAAACGTTGTGGTTGCAACCACGGCTTCATTTCGTGGTGCGAAGTGGATTTCGCAACCATCCACAGTAGGTGTCCTTTTTAGGTTGGTTGGTTTGAAAACCGATGGCACTGGTTTCCCTTTGGTTCATTGCCCATGTCCCCAGTAGAACTCCTTGCCCTTGTGCATAGAGCGTGGTGTCACGCGCAGTTCCTCGCCCTCGCTCCATGGCAGGCCGTCTTGGAGTTCCGGCGCGCCTTCAGCCCTCGCGCGGACTGCCGGGTGAGCTTCAAGGTCGCGCGCATCAAGTTTGGCCATTTGGTCATCCAAAAGAATAGGACAGATGCAGGCTGTGTCCCAGCCCAGACAGCGCAGGTTTTCTTCCTTTTTTCCAGCAAGCGGTGTTGTTTTTGCGGCTTGTCTGTGGTGTGTGCCATTGAGGGCCAAACCCGGGCAGATGAAGGTTAATCACTTCCCCCTATTAAGAAAAGTCTCCCTAATAATAAATAATTGTTTCAGAAGTCCCAAACCAGGGAATACTACTTCTAGAATAGCCAATGCTAAACCAGTTCTAAAGTAGGTACTTTCCTGCCCTTACTCAAATCCAGCCCTATTAGGGGGACCTGGGAGCACGTTTCCTTTACTACGGTTGTACTACAAAGTTGCGACTTTCGAGCCAGAACTCCGGGAGTACGTTTCCTTTACTACGGTTGTACTACAAAGCTGCGACTTTCGAGCCAAAACTCCGGGAGTACGCTGCCTTTACTACGACTGTACTACAAAGCTGCGATTTTCGAGCCAGAACTCCGGGAGTACGTTTCCTTTACTACGGTTGTACTACAAAGCTGCGACTTTCGAGCTGGAACTCCGGGAGTACGTTTCCTTTACTACGGTTGTACTACAAAGCTGCGACTTTCGAGCCAGAACTCCGGGAGCACGTTTCCTTTACTACGGTTGCGCTACAAAGCTGCGACTTTCGAGCCAGAACTCCGGGAGTACGTTTCCTTTACTACGGTTGCACTACAAAGAGTCAAAGTTGCGACTTTCGAGCTGGAACTCCGGGAGTACGTTTCCTTTACTACGGTTGCACTACAAAGTTGCGACTTTCGAGCCAGAACTCCGGGAGTACGTTTCCTTTACTACGGTTGTACTACAAAGCTGCGACTTTCGAGCCGGAACTCCGGGAGTACGTTTCCTTTTCTACGTTTGCGCTACAAAGTTTCGACTTGCGAGCCAGAACGCCGGGAGTACGTTTCCTTTACTACGGCTGTACTACAAAGTTGCGACTTTCGAGCTGGAACTCCAGGAGCACGTTTCCTTTACTACGGCTGTACTACAAAGCTGCGACTTTCGAGCTGGAACTCCGGGAGTACGCTGCCTTTACTACGACTGCACTACAAAGTTGCGACTTTCGAGCCAGAACTCCGGGAGTACGTTTCCTTTACTACGGTTGTACTACAAAGCTGCGACTTTCGAGCTGGAACTCCGGGAGTACGTTTCCTTTACTACGGTTGTACTACAAAGCTGCGACTTTCGAGCCAGAACTCCGGGAGCACGTTTCCTTTACTACGGTTGCGCTACAAAGCTGCGACTTTCGAGCCGGAACTCCGGGAGTACGTTTCCTTTACTACGGTTGTACTACAAAGCTGCGACTTTCGAGCTGGAACTCCGGGAGTAGGTTTCCTTTACTACGGTTGTACTACAAAGCTGCGACTTTCGAGCCAGAACTCCGGGAGTACGTTTCCTTTACTACGGTTGCACTACAAAGTTGCGACTTTCGAGCCAGAACTCCGGGAGTACGTTTCCTTTACTACGGTTGTACTACAAAGCTGCGACTTTCGAGCCAGAACTCCGGGAGTACGTTTCCTTTACTACGGTTGCACTACAAAGTTGCGACTTTCGAGCCAGAACTCCGGGAGTACGTTTCCTTTACTACGGTTGTACTACAAAGCTGCGACTTTCGAGCCAGAACTCCGGGAGTACGTTTCCTTTACTACGGTTGTACTACAAAGCTGCGACTTTCGAGCCAGAACTCCGGGAGCACGCTTCCCTTACTACCGGCAGGCCGTGCCAACTAATTACAAAGTCTGGTGGTCGAAGTCAAAGGGCGCCTGAAGCCAAAACCTCATCAAAACCAAAGGGCGCCTCTGCAAACAATGTCTATCATTAGGGTCTACAGTGTGTTTTGTTATTAGGGTCTACTTAAGTACGCGCATACACACGCACACACCCACGCGTAGTGGTCAGACTGGAACAGGGGGACCACAGTTGCAGACAAGCTTACACAGAACAAGAGGCACCTTCAAAACCTGACCTGCAGATCCAGGGGACCCCGAATAATAAAAACTGTTTTGCTGGCCGGTTTTTTTAAATCGGGGGGGGGGGTCGTTTATTATTAGGCGGAAGGGATTAGTAAGGGACGATCCCAGCCAGAAATAGCTGCGGCCCGCCTTCTAATAGTTTGAGATGGCTTTGGGCAGACCAGTTTAACACGGGGCTTTGATTGTGACTCACCTCGAGACCAAGGCAACACGTTTTGTGCAGGTGCCCGTGACCTACACTTGCACCGACAGTGCTTCCGACTGGGCGCCGCGCTCAAAAGATTCGCAGGAAGGGGTGTTCGTTGGGTCAAGCTTGCAACAGGCCGTCGGATGCTGTAGGGCAAAGAGATGCAATGAGACGTGCCACACAGGGTTACTTTGTCACCTAAACGGAGGGGGATTGGCCGAGTCACTGAACAACTTGACAGATTGCGTTAAGCGCAGCCGAGCGATTGAACCGCCTGGTTGTTGCTTTGAAGCAGCAGGCGGTGCGGGTGCTGCATTCCCCCAATGAGTTCTGTCTACGTTCCGGCCATCTGTTGCCGCAATACCTTGATGTGTTGGTCCAACGCAGTGGTTGCAAGAAATCCATTTCGCAAGAAGCCCTGGTTTCAGATTCGACCCCCCTGTAAATACACCCATGGTTTCAATTTGGTGCGAACGGATGTCGGGCATCAATAGGTCATGAGCTTGACATGGGCCATGGGCTCTGAAAGCTCGCCTTTCAGCCCTAGGGAGAGCCCATGGGCGCAGTCGGCGAGCTGGAGGGTTGCATCCTCTACCGCAATCTGCCGGCGCGGTTCGGCGCGGTTCGGGTCGTGCGGTTGCGGCTCGGTCCGGGGGAAACCGGTGGGACAGGCCTTGCAAGACTTCCGCTGACCGCTTTTGAAGTTGGACGCAGTGAAGCAAGGCCAAGTATCTTTTCAGCAGATGATGGTGAGGTAGCCACGCCAAATATGGGGTAAGAATGCTGAAAAAGGGTAACAATTCCAAGAATGGTCTTTTCAGCATGGATCTTTATGTATTCGAACCGCTGGTGGAACGTGACATCGCCTTTCGTTGCCATTCCTCGGTGACCTCGTTCAATGACAGATGGCCGCATCCCCGGGGCCAATCGATCGACGTGAGCTGTGAGCTGCCTGCGGTTTTCTCGAGCATTCCTTGCTTGCTTTGCCTGAAGAGTTGCAGGTCTTTGCGCAGATGGTGGGGGGCGTGTGCGTGGACGGCCAGGCAGGAGGCTTGTTTGGCTGGTGTGTTTGGTTCCACGTCAACTCGCTTTGTGCATGCGCACAGTTGGGATGATGTTCCGAACGATGCTAAAGTTTGGAGCTTGAGGTTGACGGGGGGTTCTGGCTCTACGAGGGCTTGCCCTACCCGTGCCTGTGGCAGCAAGTGAGCTTGTATGAGCTTATATACTGATGACTCAGCTGATATGGCCCCTTAGATGGCCTGATGCCAGTTGCGACGAAAAGCCACAAGAGGTCTGCACCCTGCATTCGAGAAAAACAAAACAAAACACAAAAAAACACTCGTTGCATCAGCACCCGGGCTGTGAACTGAGTGAACGTCGCGATCCTTCCAGTCGTTGCAGCTAGTTTCCAGCTTTGGTTTAGTCGTTTGCGGGTTCATCATCGGCTGGAAGGTATCGGATCTATCGCAGGAGTTTGTGGTCGGAGTGAATGCAACACCCAGGCAGGCGATGAGCCACCCGCCCCCGCTGCTGCAGGAGGTTGGAGCCGGGAGCCCTTTTGCACAAGCATAGCGTGCCGCCCATCTTCTGCACTATGCACTGGCCACTGGTTTGGCCCAATGGGGTGTGGCTCAAAATCAAAGAGCCAGGGCAAACCGCAGGTTTTAGTCTTTGGTTCCATTTGCCAAGATGCCATTCAGGTACATCCTTTTGAGCCACAGCCATGTGTCCAACCATTTGGGCGGGGGTTATCCTAGCGCATAAGGCCTCCGGCTGCTCCGGCGTTTGGGCCATTCCCAGACCTCTGGCTCCAGCTGGCCACTTGCCGCTTGCCATGGCGTTCGAAGCCGCATGGGACGAGATCGAGAGCAACTCCTGCCATCTCATCAGCTGCCGCGCGGCCAAGGAACAAGTTGCATGTCGCTGGGTCAATGGCGACGACCCCAGCGAAAGGCCTAGAAAAAGAGGATACGGGCATGCGTTTTGCCTGAGCTTGTTCCTGGCAAAGCGCCGTACCCGAAGGCTTGCCTTTCGACTTGCTGAGGCAATAAGCAGTTTGAACACGCTAGCATTTGCCAGATGCACTCGTATTGAAAGACGCGAAGGTCACTTTGACCACGCAAAGAGCGCAAAATTGTACAGTTCCACGGCTACCTCCCCATTCTTTCCAGGGATCCTTCTTTCTGGAAAGCCACCAAGCGCCCTGAAATGGCGATCGGTTCTTGAGAAGAACGATGGCCGAGAAGAATTGAACAGGAATCAACCACCAGAACAGCGGTGTTCGCAAGATCCCAGGCTGTTGCCTCGGCGTGTCCGCTACCCGCTGTTGTGATCCATGCATGATGCAGCCTCCCGGCTGCAAGGTCTCCGCATTTTTTAGAGCCCAGATGTGGGCAGGCAGCACCAAGGGGGGCGGGCAGCGGTGCTATTTTGAAGTTGGCTCATGGTTGATCTTGAAGGGTTCTCATTTCAAGCGCAACTGCTCTCTTTTCCTTCCTAATGTAGCGTCATCAGTTGCTAGCTTTCCAAAGCGCAAAGTTGACACAGGGCTCCTTAAAATATATATGTTGCAACCATTTGAAACATGTTGCTTTTTCCACCAAAATCAAGGGACGCCACCATTTACAAGCTGCAATGTTCCGGTGTAAGGATCTCTGACATGTGCAGACTCAATTTCCGATCGGCCAAGAGCCTTAGTTTAGCCATGGGCTAAACGCCAAGCATTCGCACCGCCTCGCTGAGCGCCCGACTGAGGAAGCACAAGTTCTGCTGCTGCGCGGGCGGGATTTCTTCTGGAGAAGACTGCGTGGGCGAGAAGGCGGGCTTTTTGGAGGGTTGAGGCTAGCCGCCAGGTCCATGCAGATGCGCTCAGAAGGGGAATTTGCGGGTCAGGCACGCCGGCAGGTGTCCAGGCGGTGTTTCAGTTGTCTTGCCGGCGCGATAGGCAGGGAATGAGTTGGAATGACCCCCTATAAACCATCTCTGTTTTTGTTTTTTTCCTTTAAGGGAATCCCCTTCCGGTTCATTCCCTCATCCCCTATCCCAGCAGCACGTTTTTGCAGGGGATTGACAAGCATTGCAGAAGCTATAATGCATGATACCCAGCTAGCCCAACAGAAGTCCCCGACCTGCCGGCCAAACAAGCTTAGGACGAGCAACAATGAAGAGGGACTGATGGAAGCAGAAATGATGCATGCAACATGTGTAAGGGAACGCCTGAATTCAGACAGCTCATGCTTGTTCGTGAGGGCTGCCTCGTGGGCATCCACAAGACGTTTTGCTGCGTGCAGGCACGTGGCGGGACACATTTCCACTGGGAAGCAACTACTTTCGATTGCGTCCATCTTGTTTATGCTGGTTGGCTCGTTGAGGGGTAGCTGCTTCTGAGATGCCCGTGCTTCAGACAGCTTCGTGCAACAACCTGGCCTGTGGATGCTGTGCCGCTCGGAGAGGGTGGGACATGGGCAAGATGTGGGTATGGGTCGAAATTAAATCATCAGGGGACGCAGGTTTCATCCTTGTTTCCATTTGCCAGGGTTCCATTTGGGAACCTTTCTGTGACCCACATGTCCCTACTTCAACAAGCTGAAGCCAATTTGCGTCCAATTCGGAGGATTCCGAATGCCAGGGGGCGTCGTGAATTGCTTCTGAGGATATCTTCATCTTGGGCCGCCCCTATGGCGAAGGTCGTGTCATGGACCAGGAGTCCAATTTCATGCAAGACGTCAGGTGCTCAGATCACAAGCGGCGGATAGATCCAAGCAGCCCCCACCTTCCATTGATGTTTGATGCTGGCCGCTGATACCTACCTATCTGCCTCAACCGTTCCGCTGCTGACCGCGCCAGGCAACGTGAGTCAGGAAACAAGAGGAACCATAAGTTAGGAAAGAACCTGCGGCATGCATCTGCTCGTGGGACTCCTGGGTGGGTTTAGAGCTGGTTTAGGGTTGGTTTGCCCTAGGTTTAGGGTTTAGGTTGATTTAGGGTAGGCGATTGACAAGATTGCAAGAACACATGTCAGACTTAGCGAAGCCTGTTCAGCTGAATCAACGAACAGGTCGTTCACGATGAATTGATTTCACATGCATTCAGTGTGGGAGGACGGGCTAGTGAGGGTTTAGTGAGGGTTTAGGGTCATGGCCTTAAGAGCGCCAAGGCGCGATGGTGCTACTACTGCTTGTTCACAGGCCTGCCGACCTTCCAGAATGCTGCACCTGGCATCTCAAGTTTGGTGGGAGAATGAGCCCGCGTTTTTTTTTTTTTTTGTGGTTTAATTTTGGCCCACCCCCAATTATTGTATTGAGCCCTCACATTGCGGTTGGACCCCTTTGAAGAAGCCTCACACAGAGCAAGACAGTTGCGAGCTGCGAAGCCTGGTCCATGATGTTGAAACGCTGCTGGACCCGTAAAGGGGTCTGGGAAAGGAGGGGATAGCGCAGAGAGGAGCGGAAGCCAAGCGCAAGCCAGAGAGAGTTGTTTGACAGGCTGCGCCCTCGCTCCTGCCAGCCCGAGTTTTGGCAGCATTCGGCATGGCTGGGGCAACTTTGCACCCGATCGATCCCTATCCAGGAGGCCTTTTCAAGACCGCCTGAGCAATCAAAACCCGGGTAGATGAAGGTTAGTAAGGGACAATCCCAACCATAAATAGCTGCGGATTCTGCCTTCTTATTTCTTTAAATGGTTCTGGGATTGCGAGCATTTTGATACCGGGTTTTGATTATGACTCACCTTGGCTTCATTTCCAGCCGCATGGAAAAGTGAAGAGTTGGGCGGCAAAAAGCCGCCAAGCGCTGGGCAAGAACCAATGGGACTCCAGATTCAGGCGGCCGTGGGCACAAGCAGTGGGCCATTCAAGCATTTCAAGCAATGAAAGGTCTTCTGGCTCAGCCCGAGGGAGCCTTCAAATGTTAGCCACGCTCTGTCCATCTGTGGCGTAGGCTGGTGCTTCGAGTGGTGTTCACCCCTCATGGGTTGTGCGTAGCTTTGGGAGGATACATCCACAGGTTCTGCTGGAGTGACGTCAAGTTCCTCTGCACGGAGGAGAAGAGCACCACAGCGCACTGCTACACCAGCGAGGGCTGCTGCCGCCGCCCCAGACCCAAACCAACGGCCCAGGCCTTGAAGCGCCTTCTTCCGGTGTGGGAAGGGAAGAGGTGAAGCTCTGGAGGGTCATGTTAACCCCGGATTAAGAGCAACCCCTGGTTGATGAATAGGGGGGGGTGTCCGATTCCTTTTAGTGGGGATTCAGGCCACGTTTGGGGGAACACCCCCCTAGTAATGGGACGGGTTTCTTAATCCTGGGTCAACATTAGGGCGTTCTTTTGTGCATCTGTCGACAGCGCAACTTTGAGGGGTTTTCCCATAGGTGTCCTTTTTGGTTGTTTTGGTAGACAAATAGATGGCGATTCCTGGTTTACTTGGTGGTTTAATCATCTAGCGGGGAAACCCATCTATTTCAAAATTTCCCCTAAAAGGACACCTGAGCCACAATCAAAACCTGGGTAGATGAAGGTTAGTAAGGGGCGATCCCTGCCATAAATAGCTGCGGCCGCCTTGTTAGTCCTGTACATGGTTCTGGGTAGACCATTTGAGTACCAGGTTTTGATTGCGACTCACCTGTGGATGGATGAAATCCTGCACCACCGTTCAGAAACCCTGGAATGATACGATTCTCTTGTAAATGCCAACAGGCCCATCTATTTCCCCAAGGACACCTATGGATGGACGAAATCCATTTCGCACCGCCTTAGAGCCCCTGGTTTCGGATGATTGCCTTGTAAATACCAACAAACGATATGGTTTCCGCCATGGCGTTCCCGCTTCGCTTCGCCTAGGGACACCCATGGGCTTTCCGCTTTCCCGCGGGCTTCGCTTTGGATGTCTCGAGCCATTGGCCCGAGGCCACGGGCACGGCAAGACCCTGTGCTGCATGCACCGGGGCCAATTTCCAGGCACACGGCGGATCGGCTTCGGCCTCTGTGGCAGCTCGCCTAAGGGGAACGGCCCAGCGGCAAGTGGCTGCGGCTGTGGCTCAAAAAGCCGGAAGTCCAAATTGGCTTGCCCTGGGAAGTGAAAACACGGACCAACACCTGCGGTTTGCCCCCCGGGGTGAATTTTGAGCCACAGTGCGTTGGCAAGTGGTGTGGCTGAGAGGGCTTGGATGGTTGCTGCTTGGCTGGACCAAGATTGAAATCAAACGCAAGCACTGACAAGCACTGCTGAAAAGGCGCAATTGTCGCACAAACCAGTCATAGACTCAACCCCGCGCCATCGCTGAGCCCAACACTGACCCAAAAGATAAGCTGACCCCAAACCACACAGGAAGCCTAAGAATCAGCCAAGTCGCACAGCACAGCACGGCGTGACAATTGCAGACACTGACATGCGGGGGATGGCATGGTTTACCGCTGGTCAGTGCTTGAAAATTCCTTGGGATGGGGCCCCTCTGGTCGATGGCATGCCCACTTTTTCAAAGCCTCACGTCTCCGCCAGCATCCAGTCCTTTGCACCATGCTGGATATGCTGGATATGGGAGCACCCAGATCAGGAAGATTTGGGACAGGTTTGCGACGTGAAATCAAAGGTCACCTCAGGGCTATTTGGAGAAAGCTAGTTCGTTTGGAAGCAACAGGGGTTGGAAGGCGCTTTGGACGCCTCTCACAATTCATGAGCCAGGTGTTGCCTGATATGCCTTTTACCCCTTTTTTGGGGGAGGGTTCCCCTACTGAAACTACAGAAAAAAAGGTACCCTTATTTCTAACCTCTCTACTGGAGGACCCAGAGGGTGGGTAGGTGGGCAAAGCTTGCAGAGAGCGAGCAGCGCACTTGAGGCTGCGCCGTGTGCCATGAAGCACCTTCCAGCCGTGTTGCTCTGGCAGCCCCGGGTCAGACACGCATGTGAGGCGGGCGGAGGGTGATCCTGGCAGAACAAGAAGAAGCGTTCTGCGAGCAGCTGTCTCCATGTCTCATGTGTGCTCAGCGGAGCTGGATTTGCAACTCGCGCAGGCCAGCCCATTTGCTGCTGGCATTGCTTTCGGCTGGACGGCCGGTGTGAGCCCTGCGTCCCGTCAAGGGGCGGTCCCCAGCACGAACATTATCCGTGCCCATGCTTCGTGACGCCTTTTCAGCATCATTCCTGTTGGATTTCAACCCTGAGATCCTCAAAGAGGTTTGTCACAAAGTTGCAAGTTGAGCCAAGATGGGAACCCCAGGAGCTGAAAGCGAGCTGTTCCCTGCCTCCGCTTGGGAGGAAGTCTTCTGAATTTCGTCTGAACACCCAACCCGCCTGGGTTGGGCCGGGTTAAGCTTGGGCAGGGCCCTGTGATCGTTTGGAGCCAGCAAAAGGCAGCCTACACTTCTCAGGCCGCTTGCTCTTCCCTTGAGCTCCTCTTTGACGATGCCGTTACATGCGGTTCTCCATTGTGCGGGCCTTGAATTGCTGAGCTCGAAGCTTTTTCGGCTCACGAACCAATTCGAACGGACAACTCAAAGAACCCAATTCGTCAAAAGGCGTCTCAACTGTCCGGGGCACCTTCAGTTTGGACCATCCTCGGGCTTGAGCACCACGAAAAGGCCTTTTTGCGGCCCAATTGCAAGCGTGGAGCGCGGAGCCCGTTTTTTCGAAGAGCCATCGAGATTTGACACCTATTTCCAGTTAGCTGCCACAACTGACTGCCACCAGCTTCATTCCGCCATGGCGTCACATCGCCGCTGGCTTCTGCTGGCTGCGGTGTGGCTTGGCAAAGTGGCATGCCCTATGGTTTGTGAGCATTGAGCCTCACAAATGCTGCTCTTGTTGTGCGGCCGTTGCGCTTAAAATAGACACGGCCATTGGTCAAAACACTCCGTACCCCAAGTGAAGACCCCAATCCAACCACTAAAATAGGTTCTAAAATGGGTGGTGTACCTACCATATTGTTTACGGTACCTTATCGTATCAATGTAGCTATTTCATATTTAAGGTATGGAGACACATTGGTTTTGACCCACATCCACATGGTTCTCATCCTGCAGGCCTTGCAACAGCTTTTGAATGCTTTTGACGATTCCTGCCATCTTGTTGGCCTTTGAGTGCCTTGCCATGAGCCTAGGCTGTTGCAATGCGCTGGGCTCAGGAATTCGCAGGCTCAGCGTGTGGTCCTTGTGACCGCCTTGAAGTCCAGTGTTTAGGTGTAAGCATGCAAGAATGTGACATGCCAAACATGACAACCATGACGGGCTGTTGTGCCGCTTGCCGCTACTGTCAGCAACAGCTAGCTTGCTTTGGTGGCCACCCAAGCATCGTTCACTCATCTTAAGTGGACGTTTGCTGGCCAGCTCAGCTTCATTAAATGTCGCAATACTTGCTTCGGAGACGAATTCCTGAAGTTGAGGGAGGGCCAAACTGACTGCCATCTTCGCGTGAGGCTTTCATGTGTGGCGAGCCTCCTCACGCTTCCCATCCGACCGAGGCTGGCCCAGCTTCCTGACATTCCTGACGCCGCGCACGCCGCGCACGGCGCGCACGCGCACGCAGCGCAGGGCCGAGGAAGGCAGGATGCAGCGACTTCGTCCAGCGGAGCACTGGGTTGCCGCAAAAGAGCTGGGACAATCTTCAAGACCTTAGTGAGCAGACTTGGCACTTGCGAGGCGGAAGCTCAGTCAAGCTGATGCTCAGCGCAGATGAGAAACGAGAGCTGCTGGAGCTGGGCTACAGCGAAGAGGAGGCGCGCCTGACATCGGCACACCAATTGGCCGAGTAAGATATCATAGGAGAAAGGCGTGAATGGCTGTGGGTCAAAAATAGTTGCCTAAAATGGAACCCTGGTAAGTGGAAACATGGACTAAAACCTGCGGTTCCCTAGTGGTTTTGCTTTGATCCATACCCGAATGGCAAGGGCCCTCTCTCAGGCTTTGACACAGGGGCACGCCCCTCGGCCTCTTGGTATGCTGGAAGCTTTTGGCTCACGATCGACGTGTGGCACAGACCTGTGCTTCCGCAGGCCTCTCTGCCTGCGGCGCGCTGTCCTTTTTGGGGCTTCCTGGAGTTGAGGCTGATCCGGGATTTCGAGGGTCTGCTGAGACCATTCCGTTGCTGGCCCCGCCCTTTGGAAAGGCCCGCCACTACATGTCTTCATTCCTGCCTCCGTCGACTTCACGTTTTCCAAGCCCTGCGGCAACCTCTGCCCACTCGTTTCTTTTTTTTGCCGTCGAGGCCGTCTTGCCGGCCCTGCGAAGGGAGCTGCCGCGGACCCCGACACCGGGGATTGAGCTGGTGCCCCTGAGTCCACTCCGGCCGTTCGACCTGAAGCGCAAGCAACTCAGAACGCGCTTGACGAATGCCGCTGACTCGAAGGGCGCCACCGAACTGCACCTTGTGCCCTCCGCCCAACATTTGCCTGACGGTGAGTTTGGCGAAAGCAAACTGCCAACCAACCCAGCTCCCCATCAGATAGAGCAGTTCAAAAGCCTCTTATTCGCGCCGAAGCAACTGGGCTCTTTGGTGGCCTCTCGGTGGAGCGGACTCACGACTTGTCGGTCAAGAAGATCACCTGGGAACTCTCCATCTCGGCCTCCCACGTGACTGGCGGCCTGTCAAAGTGGAACGTTGCAGGGTGATTGGCCTCCGCAGCCGCGTTGAAAACGATAGCCCCCTTCGTGCGCTGCGGCTTGAGGTGGCAAGCGTGGAATCCGCGGCTCGTCGCTGGGCGAACCCGCGGTCGCAGACCTTCGCCCAATCACCAGAGCGCGTCGCATTGCCAAGCGCTGCGTCTTCCACAGCCATGATCCCCGGCAAGCCCAGGCGCCCTTCAAAGTTCACATCTCAAGACCTGCGGCTGTTGGTGGCGCACCTCGAGCTTCGGCTCCCGGCAGTCATTGGCTTTCGCCGGGCTCAGGTGTCCCAATTCGGCCGAGGTGGCCACGTCAGCAGCGACTTTGGCTCACGCTCGCCAGGCACTGCGCTCCGGAAGGGCCATGCATGCAGACGCTTTAGGCGCTGTCTTATCTACTTCTCGACACCCGCCTCTCTAAGTCTGGCGGCTGTAGCACCGACCAGAAGCCTGCCTTCAGGATCCTCATCTTGGTCAGCCTCATGAACTGAGTGCTTTGAGAGGGAAGTGGGATCAGACAAAATTGCAGGGGACCCTGTTCGACATGGTGCTGTGCCAAGCAGCGCGGCGTGACGGGGGCTTTTGGTCACGACCTTTCGCCGTGATGCCCTGAATTAAAACTCAGCCCCAAACGTGGCCAGACGTTTTCTGGGTTAGCCAGCGAAACTGCTGCAAGACTAGCTCGCTAGGACAAAAAACGGCAGCCCCTTCCCTTGGCAACTGGCGAGGTGGGAGGCTAGGTTCCTAGTGCAGTGGAATAAACGCGAGGGATGTGACAGACAGGCGGTTGGACTGCGCGGACATTTGGCTGAGGGCCAGCCCGTGCCAGGCCACCGACATGCGCTTGGAGCTGGCGCCGGCAGCTCAGTAACTGCACGCGTCGCCGTCGGAAAGGATGGGCTCAAGAGAGCCACGTGCTCAAAACACGGGGATTGATGAAGATTAGTAACGGGCAGTCCCAGCCAGAAATAGTTGCGGATATCCGCCTTCTTAATTCTTGAAGCATGGTTCTGGGATTACGACCATTTTAATACCGGGTTTTGATTCTGACTCTTCTTGCCTTGCTGCAAATGCGGCCTTTGCTTGCAACAGTCTGCATTGGTTGGTTTTCTCCACGTTTTGGCTGGCTGCTTGGCTTATTGACTCGGCTGGCTCGGCCTCTTTTTCCAAATGGTTGCAGAAACCTTGAAAGACAAGGGCCCTTTTCAGGATGGCAGTCTTGCAAAAGCCCCCCGTCTCCCATGATTTCTGGCGCTCGCGGAGAACCCCTGACTTTTTGGCTTTTTGGGCATGTAGAAAAGAGTCGAACTTCGAGCAGGGGCTCAAAGGCCAAACCTTTCTTACCTCTTAAACACACAACTTTTCAACTTCTCGGGTAACATGGGCTATATGTCCGTAAAGGATGAACACTTCCCCAGGGCGCAGGGAGTTTTCAGGGCCAAACCTTGTGGCTCGGTCTGATTCCTAGGCTCGCGGTTCTGAAGCGCCAGACACGGCGGCCATGGGGCGACCGGCCCATGCCAGACGAGTGGCAGGATGAGGCCGGAAACCGTTGACGGAACGCATAGGCTGGTGGGTCAGTTGGATTGAAAACCGGCTTCAGCCTCGTTTTTTTTTTTTGGAGGTGTGTTGCAAGCTCTGTTGCAAACATGAATGACGCCCCTATTTCCTTTTTAATTCTAGTTGCAAGCTCAGCGTGTGTTTTCCTATACCAAAAAAAAAGGACGCCTATATAGGGCAGAAGGGCAACGGCTTTTGGAAAGGGTGGGGCCGAGTTTTGCCGATGAAGGCATTGGGTTGCTGCCACTTGGGCACTCCAAGCTCGAAGCCGTTTGAGGCTGTGCTGATGGCCCGCGTGTCGGACAAGGAGAAGAAACGAGAGGGCCAGGCCCGCGGAGACGCGCCGCCCCACACGCTATGCACAACGCGTTCGATAGCGTAGGCATGCAATCCGAGCGGCTCGGTGCTTCAGAGGGCACTCCATCAGAAAGTATTTAGCATTTCAGCCGTTTCTACCCTTTGCCCGGTTTGTGTACAGATGCTTGTTTTCGATGTTGTCTTCTCTAAGATTTAGCCAGGGGTCCTCGACCTCAACTTCCCCGAACTTTTCCCTGGTGGTCTTTGGCTCTGTCGCCTTTCTGGTCTTTCTGCTCTTCTTGCTCGCGCTGGTGGCTGGCCCGTGGGGGCGCCCAGATAGGTTTGGCGAGGGTTGCAGAAGCTGCAGTGCCTCCGGGCACGTGAACGATGGCAGCCTGGGAAGTCGTGTGTGCTTGCGTGTGTGCGTCACTGTCGCCCTGCTCGTCCTATATTTCTTCCAACTTCCAATGCGCTTTTTGCAGGAATCCGGAGACTTCATCGCCCAGCAGTTTGCCCAGTGGCAGCCCCTCGCTGTGATCATGCATGAGCATGCATGCAGTTGGAAAAACAGGTGGAACAGAAACCTCAGTTTTGCCCATGGGGGGGATGGAGTGCCTGTTGTGTCTGTTGATGGCTGTGTTAGCACAGGTTTGCCCGAGTACTCCTTGAGATCCTAGCTGATGGTTGGCGCCGGCTGCGCGCCTCGCAGCGCAGCTTTCTCCTTTGAGAGCTGTGAGGGCGCGGAGTCGCAGAGGGTCAGTTTTCGACGCCGGCGGGAAAAAGATTTGCAGACAGCGTCTGGCCTTGCAGGGGGCAGCGGCTTGATACGTCCCCCGCATTTGAAGCCTTTGGCAGATGCGTATAGGGAACCGCTTGTCTGCTGGCATTTGGGCCCAATCAGTGACCGCCCGGTCAACTTTGGCCGGCGAAATTGGCCATGTGGTGGCTCCTGCTGCGAGTGGCAGTGGCATCATCCACATGCCGTGTGGCAAGGCAGGCGCCAGCGCTGCTGCAGATGCAAGCCAAGGAGGCGGGGTGATTTGCCTCCTGAGCCCCATGAGCCCACATGCCGTTGGTAGTCAATCGCCCTCCATCAGCGCGGCTGTATTCATGGAACGCCTGTCAACCAAGCAGGAAAGCTCGTAAAGTATGGCCCCCAAGTGGGGATGTAGCGGCATGTCCGAAGCGCGCGGCCGAACGCACTCGCAGGGCCTGCTGGTGTCAAGAAGGTCCACATGGCATTTGCTGGAGAATGCAGATGGCAATTGCCTCCAGGCCGATGTGTGTTCAGCGCTGGTGGCCTTGTCGAGCGCCGTCCCACGTTGCCCCTGCAGGCCACAATGCAGCCGCAGAATGGCCTTCGCCCCACTATGGCGCCCTGCGATCAGCAGAACATGTTGCAGAAGTGGGTGCCTTGGGACAGCACGAGATGGGAGAGTGTGGCCCGGACAAGGCGGAAACTTTTGGCTGTTGGGCCCTTGCGGTTCTTGTATGTTTTGTGGCGGAGCTTGCATTCTCAACATGCACTCTCACACGTCATGGTCTCCCTTCGTACCTGTAGGTTGCAGGGTTTCATTTGAGCTGAGAAGCCAGCCCCCACGAGCCATCAGACTTACTGTATTTAGTCCACCAGCGCCGCCTGAAGCATCTGCAATTATTGTTAAGAGTTAAGAACACCGACTCGAGAAGTCTTCAGCGAGTCCTCGCTTGGAATGAGCACACTGGTCTGAGGAGTTTGATGACATGACCGGTCTCATCAAGCATTCTGCGGGCCGGTGTTTAGACGCATCTCAGCGCGAGATGAATGGTGGCGTCATCCATTTGTGGCAATGCGAGCCTCGGCTTTGAAGGCTACAATTCGAACGCCCAAAGAGTCTTCTTCCGTTCTTTGCCTGACTGCCAGTCTGACCATGTCGACAGCAGCCGCCCTTGCTCAGGATGTGACCAACGAAAACCAGATGTGGGAGTGGAAGAACGACAGCCATCACATCAAGAGCCGATCTGGCGTATGCACCTGGGCCAAGACATGCAGAGGGATTGCAAGTAGACTGGAGATTGCTTGAAGGTTGGCAAAGTGGCAGCCAGAGTTTGAGGCCACCTGCGCATGGAATGTAAGCCTGGATGCAGCTTTGCAGCTTCAAGGGTTTGTGCTTGGGCTTGAGCTTGCAACTGCTCGCAGGCATGGATGCGCCGAACCCCACTCATGCCGGCACTCCTGTGCACATGTGGGAATGCTTGGAGGACATTAGCCACTTGCTTCAACCTGCGGGATGTCCCTGTTGTGTGATTTGGGAGGGGGGTGGCAGACGGTGCAGATCTCCACAGGCAACCAGCGCTGGCGCTGGGTCCCTGTTGGTGCTGGGAACTTCACAACTGCCGAGCCGACAACCACGGAGGCGTGGCGCGTTCGGGGAGGGAGGGTTCACCTGAAACATGTTGCTGGTCAGCCCGGGCCCTTCGAAGCCATCATTTTTTGTTCAGGGCAGCGGCTGCCAAGCTGCCAGTAGCCCTGATAGGCCGGAGGTGTCTCCACCAGTAGCCTGCCCAGAACCACCAGTACCACCACGCCGCAGCCCTTGAGCGCGGTGAGGAACTGCCAGCTGGAGCCTTTGGTGGAGGGCTCTGGTTGCAAGCAGCTGCAAATCTTCGAGGATGAGAGGTTCGGGCTGGGTGCCAACGGGCAGGAGACGGAGGGCCGGCACCGCTGCCTCGAGCAAATGCGCGAAGTCAAGGGCGACAGCTTTGTCCACTCCGTCGGCCGATGCGAGGTGTGGCGGTGCGGAACGGCGGCCAGGCTGCGAATGTCGGCAGGGCCAGGAGGAGGCTTGTCCTCATCTCCTGATGCAGTGGCCTTGGTGGGCGCCAATGGGCAGTATGTCTCAGCAGATGAGGATGGCAGCATGCATTCCTCTGAAGAGTCCTTTGTCCCAGAGGCGCTCTTCGAAATGAAGGAGGTCGAGCCCGGCAAAGTGACCTTGAAAGCCAAGAGCAACGACAAGTTCGTGAAGGCTGTTCCCGGCGGCCATTTGGTGGCAGAAACGTGGCACTGGGACGATTGGGAAGTGTTCTCCCTTGAGAAGCACGAAGATGGCCAGTTCGCTTTGCGCAGCTTTCACAACTTGTTCATCACTGTCGGGGAGGGAGGGTCCATTTCAGCCACCAGCCCGCAGGGAACGGGCAATGCTGCTTTTCAAGTGCTGAACAAGTCGCAGGCTGCTTGGGAAGAAGCCGGCGGTCGGACGCGCGTCGATTTTGGCAAGACGATTTCGATGGAGTTTACCCATGCGACTTGCAGCAGGCCATCTGAGAAAGCTACAGTTCGCTGTTGCTCCGAAGATGGCACTGTGGAAAGCGGCGGATGCCTTGGCAACAAAACTCTTCCCGGAGCTCATGCACTTTGTGAAGAGAGAGGCCTGCAACTTTGCTCTGCACAGCAGGTGCGAGCCTGCGCAGACTGTGCGGGCTGTGGCAAGATTTGGACCAGCGGCACGTGCACAGCATCAGAAGGTCTGACGCAGCGGAGGCTGAATCTGCGCAACGACCGTGCTGGAGTCTTCAGCGAGCTGTGTCAGTACCAGCCAGGGAAAGGTGGGGTTTGTCAAACATGGCAGGTCAGTGGATTCATGAGGGTTAGTTCGAACAGCGACCTCCCGAAAAGTAGTCGCATGCTCATGACTCGCGCTTTAAATGTGCCGTGAGCTTGGGTCGGTACGCCTTGTGACGCAGGGCGGCAGGGGGTGGGGGGAGGAGAATCAAAGTGTGGAAGATCAGACGGAGAGAGAGAGAGAGATCCCATGAAGGAACTATATAATTAGCCATGGTCCCAGTGGCACATTGTTTCAAGTCAAGGATGAGAGCAGAGAACCGCACATGGATTTTGGGCGCAGGCGGGCTTCACGGGGAGGAGGAGCGGTCTGCAGTTTTGGTGAAGCTGATGGAGTGGAATTACAACGACATCGCCAAGGAGTGCACGGAGTACTTGGCCCCGAATGGCTTTGAGGCCGTCCAGGTTGCTCCGGTGACGGAGCACGTCGTCGGGTACCAGTGGTGGGTGAAGTACCAGCCGGTCTCCGCTGGGCTGGACACGCGGTCGGGCACCGAGGCCGAGTTCAAGGCTATGGTGGCCACTTGCAGGGCAGTCGGCGTGGAGGTCATCGTTGACATCCTCATGAACCACATGGCGTCACCATGCCAGGAGGCGCAGTCAAAGCATGGAACGGACGACATGCCTTGCGCAGGCTGGGGCGGGAGCAAGTTTGGCAACCGCAAGGCTCAAGGTGCCCGAGGTTGGGACGCGTCCACGCCAGCTAACTTTCACCACTCGCCCGATGATGAGACGAAGCCCTTGTGCAGTGTAGGACCGCATTCCGGATGGCTTTGCCCGGATGATGATTGCACTCCTTGCGACATGTACTCGCTGCCGGACTACAATACTGAGTTGCAGGAGGTCCGTGACATGCAGTACAAGCACCTTGCAGAGCTCTTTCATATTGGCGTCACCGGTCTCAGAGTGGATGCAGCCATTTATCACCATGTGTATGAGCTCGCGGACATGCTCAACAGGCTGCCATGGGATTTGGTCTATCAAGAGTGGTGGGGTGAGTACCCGCCTCAAGATCGCACAGATCACGTGGGCCTGTATCGTGATGTTGCCTACCGCTGGCATTTGGTCAACCGCCTTGCCGGCAAGAACGCCACCGACCTCGGGGAAGTGTTTGACCTTGATGGCGGCGTGTTCGGCATCACTCAGGACATGGCAGTGTACCCGTTTGCCTATCATGATGGCAGGAGCAGAGACGCCGACCCGGAGATTGCCACCTACAAGAACGGATTGGCATACCATCAGCAGCAGAAGTTCTTCCTGTCGTGGCCTCTTGGAAACACCGTGTTGGTCTGGGGTGGCTATGGGTGGCGCGACCTCAACCACGGCCCGCCGGGCTGCGACAAGGCGGACGGGGACCACTGCTCGCCGCTCCCGGTCTACGATGAGTCCGGGAACGCCCAGTGCATGCCTGCCCCGACCGAGTCGCCCCTGCCCAGGGATGAGGCCCGTGAGAGGCGGTGGATCTGCGAGCACCGCTGGCAGGGCGTGGCGGGTATGATGCACTTCCGCAAGAGCTGCCGCACCAAGGGGGTGTCCAAGGTATGGAAGGACGACGAGGTGGCGCTGGGCAGAGCAGCCTTCCGGCTGGGCGAGGATTGCTTCGTGGCCTTGGTGCGTGGCCGTCGCCCGGAGGAGCCGCCGGAGGCGGAGGTGGTGGGTGTGGGGGGCACCTGGGACTTGCAGGGCTTCCACGTGGGGCTGCCCGCCGGCCGCTACTGCGACATGTCCTCCCTGCACACGCAGGGCGGCTGGGACCAGACCAGCTGCCCCCGCACCGTGGAGGTCGACGCCAACGGCATCGTCCTGCGGGGTGCCGTGACCCAGGGCGAGCTGCTTGCCATCCACACCGGCGCCAGGCTCAAAGTCCTGCTGTCTTAGACCAGGCAGACCTGAGATTCATCCAAGGAACAACCTGAGTTGAGCTGTTGCTTAGCGCAGGTCTTGCCGACAAAGTTTCGCGGCTTTCTTGCGCTCTGGCCTTATCTAGGTAAAGATGCTCATAATATCCTATCTCGCTTGTTTTCTGCTGGGCATTTGCCTGCTCCCCTCGTGCCAGTGTTTGCCACAATCTTTTTTTTTTTTTTTTTTTTTTAATAAAAATAAAAAATAAAACATAAAACTATTATTATCGTTGAGTTGCTGCAAATGAGCTTGGGTTCGAAACTAGGGTGGCAAACACGTGCCATCATTCCGAGAGGCAGCTTCCTCAAGAGAAGCTGGCTTGCTGACTAGCAGGTTGACTTACGACTTTTTCTTTGAGTTCAACCATTTCAACCGTGAACATCTTTCGGCGCATGTTCACTGCTGATTTGAATTGGATCGAGCTGCCCCGTTTCTTGGTTTGTTCGCTTGCTAACCAGGCTCATTGGACACGAACGGCAATACTTTGTCTTCGGAAAGCTTTTGGATACGCAGTTAGATGGTGCAAGGTGAGGGCTGACAAAGAAGGTTTTCCTCACATTTGCTAGCAAGCCAGTCTTGGAAGCCGGCTATGCAGCCTGCGCCTTGGCCGCGTGAGTGGGCACGGCTCGTCCATGGGCTGCTCATGGGCGGCACTGCCACGGCGCTTTTGCCCACGGTGCCTTGTAGAGATGCAGAGCGGCACGGCTTTCGGCTTTCGGCCCTCGGCTTTCGGCTTTCGGCTTTCGCAGTCGATCTAGCTCGACTTTTTCACCGTTCGGTGCCTCTTGCTATAGAGGGGGCTTTGAGTGAGCCACTGGCGGCCTTCGATTTGAAGGACTCAGCGATCCTTGCAACACCGACCTTGAGATCTTGGGATCTTGGGATCCGGGGTTGCCAGCGAGAGCCCACTCAACTCCCGATGCTGCCAATTATTATGTAGAGCGTCCTGCAGGCTTCCCGGAGCATGAGATTGAGACCATGCCAAGATGTACTTGATTTTTGTTTTTGCCACAGTAGTAAGTTGTTGGGTTTCCAAGGTTGCAACCCACATATAATCCCAAGTGGGGCTATCAACTTGCTGGGGCAGGTGGCTTCCACTGCCGTTTCATGTTCTGCTCGGGGTGCTTGCGGTGCGCGTTCTTCGCGAGAGGCGCGCGGCTCGCGAATTCAAGCCGTCCGCGAGCTCGGCGAGCTGGGTCTTATAGCTCCACCAGCTGGCAGAGCTCGGCCGGCGCAGGTTTTGGGGTCGGAGGGATGGCCAAAGGAAGCCTGAGCCACCTGCGGTTCGCGTCTTTTTTCCCCTTTTTCTCTCCCTAGATTGAAGGAGTCCAATGTGCTGACCAATACGGTCGGAACACGTCGGAAGTGGATGCCCTCGATGCTGCCACATTACCTCTCTGCCTGGCACGGCTGGCCCTAGGCTGAACATCCAGCATAGTTGTCGTGTTAGGATGATGTTTTTTTCCTCAGGAGTTGGCCCAGAGAAACCCCGCGGGACACTGCCAACATGGTTTTTCTCGCCATTTTGGCGGGGTAATCTTGGACAAACTCATGGAGCTCAGTCAGACTCTTGTTTTTAATGTGGGAGTCCATGGATGTGATATACGGAGTCACGGTTCCTTGCTTGGTTGCTTGCTCATGGCTACTATCTCGGCTCGGATTTGGTCTGCTCAGGGCTTGGAAGCTCGCCGCTAAGGGCGCGATGGAAAAGCCGTCCGCCTGGTACCACGCAGAGAGTGGTAAAAATGCAGCCGCTGCAGTGCTCGAATGACATAGGCGCAGTGTACGCGGCGCGCTGTGCAGTTCGAAGTGAAAAGCTGTCCGGGAGAGCGGCTCAGACTGCGATATGGCTGTGGGGCAAAATAGGTACCCCAAACGGACCCCTAGTAAGTGAAAACATGGACCAACACCTGAGGTCCCCTGGTGGTTTAATTTTGACCCACACCCATATGCAGTCTATCCATCATAGTCTGCACACGTGCACTCAATCGCTATGTCTTCAATGCCTTCGCGCTAAGCTCGAAACCGAACACGGCAGCTGTCCAGGGTTGCATGCAGAGCATGGTTTCATGAACAGGACCTACTTATTAACACTGCCAGAGGCACGGCAGGGATCTGACGCTTCTATCAGCGCCACGCAAGTAGTGCCACTCCAAATCATTCTTTTTTGGTGCTCCATATTTGGATCCGAGAGGTAGCTATTCCCCGGTGCGCCCGCCTTCTGCCATGCACGTGCTTGCTTTTGTGTTGCTCGCGGTGTCGAGCGGCGAATGCAACAACTGCAAGTCAAAGAATGGCGGCACGACTCTGCTCCAAATGCGCACCAAGTCGCAGGAACTTCATGAGTCCAAGCGCATCTTCTCTAACTCCAACTTCTTGATGCTGGAGAATGAGGACCGGCTCGGGAGTTTCTCACGAAGTTGCAACCCCGCCCATGGGCACATTCCTGCTTTTCCTTCTCTTTTTAGGAATCCCTTTGGTTCCTTGGGCCAAAAAGTCGTCCAAAGACCTGAGGACGGGAACTGTTTGGAGGCCTCCAATGCACCCATGAATGGGGTGCGCCCAACCATGCAGCTGTGCGATGTGGAGAATTTCATGCAGCAGTGGAACTACGAGGAAGAGACCGGGTTGATCCACCACTCAGGGGGCAAGTGCTTGGACGCCTCTCAGCGGAACTTGAATGCAGGCCTCATACACATGTGGGAGTGCCACCTGGCAAATGAGAACCAGATGTGGGAATGGGGGGAGAACAAGATGATCAAGAACCAGTACGGCATCTGCATGGATGCGCCTTCTCCCCAGCAGGTTGGCAGCCAAGTGCACATGTGGACCTGCCGAGCCGACCTCAGCAACCAGCGCTGGCACTTCACCAATGGCCAGGACTTCAATATGACAACGACAGCCACAACCAGCCCAGCCACAACCGCAACCAGCCCGGCAACAACCAGTTCTACCTCAACAAGTGGCACTTCGGCATCCACAGAAGGACCCAGCACATCTCCCATGAGCACAACCACCGGCACCACCACGCCGCAGCCCTTGAGCGCGGTGAGGAACTGCCAGCTGGAGCCTTTGGTGGAGGGCTCTGGTTGCAAGCAGCTGCAAATCTTCGAGGATGCGAGGTTTGGGCTGGGTGCCAACGGGCAGGAGACGGAGGGCCGCCACCGCTGCCTCGAGCAAATGCGCGAAGTCAAGGGCGACAGCTTTGTCCACTCCGTCGGCCGATGCGAGGTGTGGCGGTGCGGAACGGCGGCCAGGCTACGAATGTCGGCAGGGCCAGGAGGAGGCTTGTCCTCATCTCCTGATGCAGTGGCCTTGGTGGGCGCCAATGGGCAGTATGTCTCAGCAGATGAGGATGGCAGCATGCATTCCTCTGAAGAGTCCTTTGTCCCAGAGGCGCTCTTCGAAATGAAGGAGGTCGAGCCCGGCAAAGTGACCTTGAAAGCCAAGAGCAATGACAAGTTCGTGAAGGCTGTTCCCGGCGGCCATTTGGTGGCAGAAACGTGGCACTGGGACGATTGGGAAGTGTTCTCCCTTGAGAAGCACGAAGATGGCCAGTTCGCTTTGCGCAGCTTTCACAACTTGTTCATCACTGTCGGGGAGGGAGGGTCCATTTCAGCCACCAGCCCGCAGGGAACGGGCAATGCTGCTTTTCAAGTGCTGAACAAGTCGCAGGCTGCTTGGGAAGAAGCCGGCGGTCAGACGCACGTCGATTTTGGCAAGACGATTTCGATGGAGTCTGCCCATGCGACTTGTAGCAGGCCTTCTGAGAAAGCTACAGTTCGCTGTTGCGCCGAAGATGGCACTGTGGAAAGCGGCGGATGCGTTGGCAACAAAACTCTTCCCGGAGCTCGTGCACTTTGTGAAGAGAGAGGCTTGCAACTTTGCTCTGCGCAGCAGGTGCGAGCCTGCGCAGACTGTGCGGGCTGTGGCAAGATTTGGACCAGCGGCACGTGCACAGCATCAGAAGGTCTGACGCAGCGGAGGCTGAATCTGCGCAACGACCGTGCTGGAGTCTTCAGCGAGCTGTGTCAGTACCAGCCAGGGAAAGGTGGGGTTTGTCAAACATGGCAGGTCAGTGGATTCATGAGGGTTAGGTAGACCTTGTGACGCAGGGCGGCAGGGGGTGGGGGGAGGAGAATCAAAGTGTGGAAGATCAGACGGAGAGAGAGAGAGAGAGAGATCCCATGAAGGAACTATATAATTAGCCATGGTCCCAGTGGCACATTGTTTCAAGTCAAGGATGAGAGCAGAGAACCGCACATGGATTTTGGGCGCAGGCGGGCTTCACGGGGAGGAGGAGCGGTCTGCAGTTTTGGTGAAGCTGATGGAGTGGAATTACAACGACATCGCCAAGGAGTGCACGGAGTACTTGGCCCCGAATGGCTTTGAGGCCGTCCAGGTTGCTCCGGTGACGGAGCACGTCGTCGGGTACCAGTGGTGGGTGAAGTACCAGCCGGTCTCCGCTGGGCTGGACACGCGGTCGGGCACCGAGGCCGAGTTCAAGGCTATGGTGGCCACTTGCAGGGCAGTCGGCGTGGAGGTCATCGTTGACATCCTCATGAACCACATGGCGTCACCATGCAAGGAGGCGCAGTCAAAGCATGGAACGGACGACATGCCTTGCGCAGGCTGGGGCGGGAGCAAGTTTGGCAACCGCAAGGCTCAAGGTGCCCGAGGTTGGGACGCGTCCACGCCAGCTAACTTTCACCACTCGCCCGATGATGAGACGAAGCCCTTCTGCAGTGTAGGACCGCATACCGGATGGCTTTGCCCGGATGATGATTGCACTCCTTGCGACATGTACTCGCTGCCGGACTACAATACTGAGTTGCAGGAGGTCCGTGACATGCAGTACAAGCACCTTGCGGAGCTCTTTCACATTGGCGTCACCGGTCTCAGAGTGGATGCAGCCATTTATCACCATGTGTATGAGCTCGCGGACATGCTCAACAGGCTGCCATGGGATTTGGTCTATCAAGAGTGGTGGGGTGAGTACCCGCCTCAAGATCGCACAGATCACGTGGGCCTGTATCGTGATGTTGCCTACCGCTGGCATTTGGTCAACCGCCTTGCCGGCAAGAACGCCACCGACCTCGGGGAAGTGTTTGACCTTGATGGCGGCGTGTTCGGCATCACTCAGGACATGGCAGTGTACCCGTTTGCCTATCATGATGGCAGGAGCAGAGACGCCGACCCGGAGATTGCCACCTACAAGAACGGATTGGCATACCATCAGCAGCAGAAGTTCTTCCTGTCGTGGCCTCTTGGAAACACCGTGTTGGTCTGGGGTGGCTATGGGTGGCGCGACCTCAACCATGGGCCGCCAGGCTGCGACAAGGCGGACGGGGACCACTGCTCGCCGCTCCCGGTCTACGATGAGTCCGGGAACGCCCAGTGCATGCCCGCCCCGACCGAGTCGCCCCTGCCCAGGGACGAGGCCCGTGAGCGGCGGTGGATCTGCGAGCACCGCTGGCAGGGCGTGGCGGGTATGATGCACTTCCGCAAGAGCTGCCGCACCAAGGGGGTGTCCAAGGTATGGAAGGGCGACGAGGTGGCGCTGGGCAGAGCAGCCTTCCGGCTGGGCGAGGATTGCTTCGTGGCCTTGGTGCGTGGCCGTCGCCCGGAGGAGCCGCCGGAGGCGGAGGTTGTGGGTGTGGGGGGCACCTGGGACTTGCAGGGCTTCCACGTGGGGCTGCCCGCCGGCCGCTACTGCGACATGTCCTCCCTGCACACGCAGGGCGGCTGGGACCAGACCAGCTGCCCCCGCACCGTGGAGGTCGACGCCAACGGCATCGTCCTGCGGGGCGCCGTGACCCAGGGCGAGCTGCTTGCCATCCACACCGGCGCCAGGCTCAAAGTCCTGTTGTCTTGAAGAATTCAAATGCATGTCAAGGGCAGTCTTTGGTGTGATGAGTGGCACTTGTTTGATGCTTTCAGTGTAACCGGTAACATTCTGATTGGCAGAATAATTTACATCGGAGATTTGAGCCGCTCGTGGCCCCAGAGTGGGGCCTCCTACAGTCACTTTTCGGCGGCCTTTTGCATGCTGAGACTTGGAAAGGCCACTCAGCAAGTTTTTGGAACCAACTTGTTTGCAAGTTCCTCAGCCTGCTGCTGCACTACTGTGGTTGGAAAAAACCGCTGGCCAACTACAAGGCCAGCAGCGAAGGGCCTCTCACCCGCTCAGGGCCGAAAGACGGGCCCTTGGGCCCTTTGAATCACGGCATGCCAGAATTTGGTCGGCTGAAATCGGCCGGGGATTCTGTATTTGGTTGCGTGAGTTCTACCGGTTCGTTCAGAGCCAGATGCGTCATGAAAGTGAGCAGCCGTGTCTGGAAGGACTCACTATGGAGCCGCCGCATGAGAGTGTTGAACTTGCGAGTTTGCACCGCTGGCCTCCTAGGATTCGGATTCGTTGCGCCTTGCGTTTGCCTGCATCTGGAAAATGGCGGCCGCGGCAAGAATCGCCGGATGCTACATGGCGCCCAGAAGGCTCAGTGACATGGCACGTGCCCAAGGCCCGGGGCGACGTCATTGCGCAGCCAGAGGGCGAAGACGGCGAGATCAATTTCGCCCGAGGCTCAGCCTCGGGTCTGGTGACCCGGTTCCGTTTTTTTTTCTTCTTATTTTTTTATTTGTGTGGGACTACCCCAAGATAGACTTGCACCCAGGGATTTCCCTTTTGGGGAAATCAACCTGCAGCCTCGTGTCTGGCAAATGACCCCCATTCATCCGAGCCGTGTGATGAGTGTGCCACTAAACTAAACTCGCAACCCAATCGCCCAAGCCATTGCCCGTGCACCCGGGTTGTTGGGAAGAGATGCGAGTGTGTGCGAGTGTGTGCGAGTGTGCGAGTGTGCGAGTGTGTGTGTGTGTGTGCGCGTGGCGTGTGTGTGTGTGTGTGTAAGTACTGGATCTTGTGTTGTTTGTGCCTGTATTGTTTAAAACCTCCAGCCCTTAGCTGGATGTGCGGATGCTGAGGATGACATCCATGACGAGTGGTTCGTAGAGGCGAACCTGCGATGAACAAATTGAAGGGATGTCATCGAACCAGCAGCAGTGATTGCCAGCGGCCAGGTGGGGGAAGGAGTTGCAGCTTTTCCTACTTGCCCAGAAGCAAGCACATGCCAGACCCAGTTGCCCAGTGGATTCCGCCCTTTTTTCCTTGTTTTTGCGGGACGTGTTCCCCTTGAAACTCAACTAACTCAACTAACTCAACTAACTCAACTAACTCAACTAACTCAACTAACTAAAAAGGATGCCCTGTTTTTCCCATGGCCACTGGGCATCCTAGAAGACACCAATTCTGCATGTCTGTTTTCCCGCGACCCTTTGGGAAACAGACGGCTAGGCAACTCGGCACGGCAATTAAGAATGACATGTTCAGATTCCGCTCAGTGCTTTTGACTTTCAACTGGCTGACTGAACAGTGAGGGCAGTTCAGCGGGCTGGCTCAACGCTGAGCTGAGTGGTGCGAGACATGGCAAGTAGCCTGCAATTTGCCATTGGAGGCCATTGAGAAGATAGATCTGCCTCCTCCATGGGAGAAGCGCCGGGTGCGTGGCAGCGGAGAGAGGCGCGTGCATGAAGTTGGGAGGGGATGCCCTGCACCTTGAACATATTCTTGGCCGCTTTGGATTCACCCAGTGCTTCCCATTCAAACTGAGGGTGCTTGTCTTGCTGGTGCGAAATCGGTAGGGAATGAACCTGGGGATTCCCTTAAAAAAGAAACCGCCAGTTGCGGATGGTTCGAATTGGGGGTGCGGTTTGAACCCGCCCAAAAACTGGTCTGACTTTTTTTGCCACCAGGAAGCATGTCAAGAATTGAAACGGTGAAGGCACCCATTTATGGCTGGGACTGCCTCCAGGGCTTTCTCCCAAATCCACCTACAAACAGTTTCACAGACACAGCGCAGCGTATGCAAGAACTGCCCTCAGGCGGCCATTCCATCTCATTCCCTTCATCTCTCGCACTCGCAAGCGCTCGCTTCACCACAAAACCCACACGATTCAGAGCCGCAGGATGGGTCGCATGTACTTCCTGGACCCTAGGCATCGGGAGTTTGGGGGGACGAGCTCGAGTGCGCGTGGCTGTGCCAGTTGAAGGGTGGGCTTCACTGAGCCAACCATCTTTCTTCACGCTTTTTTTTCTTTTAAATAGTTATTGTGTGCCAGGTCGAAGAGAACCACTTGGAAGGATCCCAGGCTGGGAATCAGTCACGTTCGGCATGTCTTGCCTGCGCTTTGCCAGGGGAATTCTGTTCAGCAGGTACCCTCCATTAACATGGAACCTGACTAGTCCTGGAAGACGATTTTCCTTTTACAGTCACCTGGTGGGTTCCATGTGAATGGACAGGATGGGGTAAGTTTAGCACCGGCCTTGCGAGCCGAAGGCTTGCAAAAACCTCGCCCGAGGTTTTTGCCGGACGGCTGGGACCAGCGCGTGGACGGGACCAGCGGCAAGGCTCGATGAGCTGGGACCGGGCGGTCGGTTCGGTGCCTTGGAACGGCGGCGAATGCATCGGAGAACTACGGATGAGCCACGTGCTCAAAAACCCCGGGTAAATGAAGGTTAGTAAGGGATGATCCCAGCCACAAATTCTTTAACTACTTGGTTCTGGCTAGACCGTGTTAAGACCGGGTTTTGATTATGGCTCGGATGAATGAGAGGGTGTTCTGTTTGGTGGGGTGTTTATCCGGTTCAGAATGTCTCAGAGGTTCGTTGGTGATCCTGTCTGATTCACCCGAAGTGCGCAAAGTAGCACAGCTCAGCTTTTTCGAGAACCCACTTGAGCCACAATCAAAACCCAGGTAGATGAAGGTTGATAAGGGACAATCCCCTTGTCATAAATAGCTGTGGATATCCACCTTCTTAATTCCTTACATTCTGGGATTACGACCATCTTCATACCGGGTTTTTATTATGACTCACTTGGCATCGAGGACTGGTCCCCAGAGTTCGGTTCGGGGATTACGGTACCATTTTAGTACCGGGTGATTGAAAATCCACTTTGCATCGGTTTTGACTCATTTGCCTTTTGTGGCTGAAGCATGGTGCTGGGATTATCATTTTGGTACCGGGGCATTGAAAATCCACTGGACAGGTCTTCTTCCAGTACCACAGAACCCGGCAGACCACCTATGTGGATCCTCGCAGCTGTCCCTTGGGATGGGCCTGGCGTCCCAGTTGGAGCTGGATCAAGCTGAGTGACATGAGTTCTCTGCTGGGCCCCTCCTTTGAAGCTTTGAGTTGTTTTTCCTTTTCCTTTTTGTGGGAAGGGTGTTGGGGTTGGGTCAACCAGCTTTGCAAATATTGTTAAACCGCACTTAGTGATTAATTTTCACATCTCCGGTTTCTCGTTGCTTCGCTTGCGTTCCTCCTCCTCCCCCATGCCGCTGCCTCCTGTTCCCCTCCTGTTTTTGTGCCATCCGTTGCAAACCATTCAATGAAGCATTCGAAGAGCGCGACCATTGGTGTGGATGAAGCACGACCCCGGTTTTGTTCAATGAACGCAAGGACATGAGGCTCTCCAAAGATGGCTCAATCTACTTCGCCTTCTTGCCAGCAATGCGCACCACCATCATTGCCGCTGCCTCAGGCACAGCAGCAACCTCGGAAAAAAGTTGGACCGCTGAGATGACGGAGTGCGTATCATTCGTTTGTTACTTGTGGGGGTTGCATTGTTTGGGTTTATGTCGCCTTCCATTGTCATGACGAATTCTTGTGCTGCCTTGAGCTGCTTGCTGATCAATTAAACGAGCAAGACGGATGCCGAAAGGCGCATGCTGCCATTGGCCAGCTTTGCAATCGGGCAGCTATTTTCAGGGGGCATGTAGGCAGCACGTCCATAGAATGCCCAAACATATGGCTGTGGTGGTCAAAACCAGTGGTACCATTTTGGTTGGTAGGTGCACCACCCAGTTTTTAGTGGGGATTGGGTCCCTTTCACTGGGGTACGATTTGGCTTTTGATGGCCATATGCTCCGCGCTGGGCTTAGGACCCGCGGGGCTTGCCCGACAACTTCGACGCTGCCCTGGATGACCTGGCAAGGCGGTCGGCTCAGAGTGGTTTGGTTCGGAGACGTTTCTCCAAGCTTCGGTCCAGGATGTACTTCAAGAACCACGAGGCTCAAGCGACGACGTGGGACGATCCACGTTCTGGACAGCAAGAGGCGGGGGCACCCAGAACTCAAGCGGCACATTTTGACGCTGATGCTTGCTCAGCACTTTGTGTCACCTGCTGGCATTAGAACGAACAGTGCAGCCTTCAGCAGGGGTGAAAAACAAACACAGCAACCTTCATGGGTCAGGTTATGCTTGACGTTCGCAGGTGACGCTCACAAAGTGGCGACAGGCCGGCTTTCACATGTTACAAGCTGTCCCGATGCTGCTCCAATGGCTGAGACCTGATGCAGGCCCAATCCACTCGATGGTGGAAGGAGCAGGCAAGAGTTCATGACCTACGTGGGGTTTGTTGTGGGACCCTCTCAGGTCTGGAGAGAGATCGAGGAGATGAACAGGCGCAACTTGAAACTCTGAGGATTTGATTGTGTCGAATGTGACGCTTTTCACAAAATGTTAGCCTTCCATGAATCCATGGACGAACTGTAGGCATCAGGTGTTGAGCATTCATCTTAGACGGCCTTATCGCCCCGTTAGCCTACTGCTCGCCTTCGGAAGAGAGTCCATGGATCGCCAGGCGGAAAGAATTGGACGACAAGTCCGAGCTCGAATCCGAGGCCATTCTGGAGCGAGGCGCACGCGGCGCACGGCTCATTGCCAAACACTTCCAGCACTCCGTCTCACCTTTTTTTGCGAACAACTGGTGGCCATCGAGGCATCCAAAGGCAGTTCAACTTCCAAAGCATAGGTGTCCTTTTTTTTTGCTAGAAAAACAGATGGCGATTCCTGGTTTACCTGGTGGTTTAATCATCTACCAGGGAACCCCATCTATTTCCCCTAAATGGACATGTGTTCCAAAGTTTTTTTTGTTCCCCCGTTTTCTGGGCCTTGGCGCCGCCCGCTTCTGCAGGCACGCCCTGAGCTCCAGCGTGTGAGCTCCGGAGTCCGGTTTTCGAAGTGCCGTCCAGAGCGGAGATGGAAGGAAAAGGATGTTGTTCAAGAGACTTGCTTAAAGCTTGACTGCTACTGGGTTGGATCTTTAGACTTTAACTTTTTGGTTGAAATCAAGGGTTTTCCACTAAACACCCAAGAGGTTAAACTTGTTGCAGCGGGGTCAACAGCAACCAAGAAAGGTGCCCACGAAAAGATGTGCATTCAGCACCACAACTTCTGGATGATAGGTGTTTGTTCGCCGCTGGCTGGAATCTTCACGGATGCAAAGATGTGCATTGATTGCCACGAACTCTGGATGACAGTTCCTCGAGGCTATCTAGGATTTTAAGCCGTTGGAATTTTAAGCAGTGCCATGAAGATGCGGCGCACGCCTCAGGCTCGATCTAAGAGCACCCCCTTGGCTGCACGCCTGCGACTTGCTCGCCACACGTGCGGCGTGCGTGCAGATAGGTTGGCTGGAAGTTTTTGAGCAGGGCACTGTGTTTGAGATGGCTGTGGGTCAAAAATAGGTACCCAAAATGGAACCCTGGTAAGAGGAACCATGAACAAAAATCTGCGGTCCAATTCCTGGTGGTTTAATGTTGACCCACACCCAGATGTCTGTCCATTCATGTTGAATCTTGCCCGCAAGCCAACCGAGTGATGCGATGCGTGGCGGCTGGTTCTCACCGGGAGCGCAGCAGGTCTGAGTGTACATCTGGCTTCTTTCCTGACGGAACGGTTCCATCCAGATCAAGTCGGTGACTTCGCTTTCAGCCAGCTTACGGTCAATTGCTTCGGCCTGCGAAGATGTGCTCTAGCTCTTCCCAGGTTCCAGCCCGATTGCCATGGACATCCAGTTGGGAAAGAACGGGAGTTGGGCGAATGGGTGCGGAGACCGGGCAAGTCACGTCCGAGCCAGGCTTCTGAGGCCGGTTTTTGGTTTAAACCTCGGCATTTTTGAGTACCCGTGAATTGATCAGTGAAATTGATCGCCAGCCGAGCGTCGTGTTCAAGCATCACGCATGCACTCACACGCACACGCGTACGCACACGCACACGCACACGCACACGCACACGCGCACGCCCACGCCCACGCCCACGCCCACCCACACACACACACACCACACACCACACACCACACACAACACACCACACACCACACACCACACACCATACACCACACACCACACACCACGCACCACACACTACACACCACTCACCACACACCACACACCCCACAGATACACACACACACACACCACACACACCTACACCACACACCCACACACATATATACATATATACACATATATATATAC